AATATTCATAGGAACTTTTTTTTTTTTGAGAGATTTTTGCTATAGGGCACGTGCACTCTCCAGAGAGAAAGAAAGCCAAAAAATTGTCCCCCAGAAGGAATGGCTACACTGTAATTCCTTCTCCTACATTCTCTTCCCTGGATTTTGGGCACACCTGCAAATGTGCCTGGCGTAAGTTTTTTTGGAGAGATTTTCACTATAGGGCGCGTGCGCTCGCCAGACAGAGAGAGAGAGACATAGAGACAGAAAGCGAGAAATCACCCCCCAGGGGGGATGGTCACGCCGCAATCCCTTCTCCTCCATTCTCCTCTCGGGATCTTGGGCACGCACGCACACGCGCCCGGCGTGAGTTTTAAGCCACCGGGTCCGGGACACGAACCGCGGTCGACTACGTGGGAGTCCAGCGACATAGCCATTACGCTAACTGCTGGTTCCCCCTGGCCTAAGTTTTAAGCTGCCAGGTCAGGACTGGAACTATGGTCGACAGCAATGTAACCATTATGCCATCTGCTGGTCCCTGTTGGAAAGTTTCATATTAGATGTCCAGATTGCTAACAAAGACAGCAGGAGTTTGGAAAACTATAAATTGCAGTGTACACAAAATAGAATAAATACTATGCAATAGTAAAAATGAAATTATATGACTACATGAAGCAATATCAGTGAATCTTAAAAACATAATATTGATGGAAATGAGCCAAACAGGAAAGAATATGTTGATACATTGTATAATATCAATAAAAAGCCAATTGATCTGTAATATCCAAGCCAGGACAGTGATTAGTTTCTAGGAGCAGGGAAGAGGTTTGATGGGATTTGGGTGTTTGGTCACATACCTTAACAAGATGGTGGTTACACAGACATATTTACTCTGTTTGTTCAACTCTACACTTAACTATTTATTCATGCTTCCGTATATCCACCATACTCCAAATGGTAAAGAAAAATTTAATTTGACATTTTATGTGCATATACTTAATATATTGAAATCTATTTGTCTTGACCATTAATATAGCCTTCGTTCTTTCAGTAACTTATATATTTCAATTTTAATCATATCTTTACGTTTCCAAAAACTAAACTGTAATGAATTGTTTAATTTTGATTTAGTAAAAATCTTTTACAATTTCCTTGAATACGATACAATTTAAACTTCATGCCCACTGCTAGTACCCTAACAGATACCTCAATTCAAGCTCAAACAATAAGACTTTCCACATTATTATTTTTTTTATTTTCTAAAGAATGTATGCACTCACCAAAGAGACTGAGAAAGAGACAGAGTGAGAAATGAGAAATTACCCTCTAGGGTGTGTGACCACAGTGTGATCCCTTTTCCTCAGTTTCTCCCTCCTTTCAGAATTGTGGATAGGCACATGTGCTTGGTATGTTTTTCAAGTCTCCAAGTCTGGGATTTGAACTGCGTGATTGGCCCTGTGGTATCTAATTGCCTTAACTACCACATCATGGGCTGGCTCTAGATAAATTTTAATGACTTAAATTTCCTTTATCTGTCTTAAATACTTTCCCTGAGTCGCTACCCTTGTCATTTGATACTTATGATCAAGTAGTTTCCTTCATAACAGAAAACGATTAAGCTATTTTTTAAAAGAATTATTTTATTTAACTTTATTTATTCATTTATTTATTTTAATTTGACCAGAGAGGGACACACACACACACACACACACACACACACATACACACACATACACATACACACCGAAAAAAACAAACCAGGTCCAGAGTTTGAAACATGGTCAGCCATGTGGGAGTGTCCAGTGCCCTAACCACCAAGCCACCTGCTGGTCCTTGATTGAACTATTTTGCTTTGCTTTATAAGCTCTTCATTATCTGGTTCTTAAAATTTTAATTATTAAATTTTTATTTTTTTAACTTACTTTATTTTTTTGTTTATTTATTTATTTTAATTTGACCAGAGAGGGTCAGAGCAAGATTGAGAGCAAGAGCAAGAACAAGAGTAAGAGAGAAAGTGAGAAAGCAAGCCACCAGGTCTAGGACTCCCACTAGGGTCAGCCATGTGGGAGTCCAGTACTCTTATCTACCAAACTACCTACTGGACCCTTAATTCTAATAGAAAGTAACTTCTCCAGAAAGACTTTCATCCTCCTTATTTTATTGAAATTATATTCTCATAGAATTTTTTTACCATAGGCAGGCGCCACCACGTCCTAGAATTTTTTTGCTCCTCCTCTAACTATTCTTTCCTTTTGTCCTATATTTACCTATAGTAAAACTGTCCTCCAATGATGTCTTAAAATTTCGTGAAGTTCTGTTTAATCACACCAGACGTAATTGAACTCCACTTACTTTGTAACACTTCTACAGTTCTTACAGGATGCATAGTACAATGACTAATTCCATTCTCATTTACTTATAAAGGTTCTACTAATACCATGTGACAGCTTTTGCACATAATAATAAACACACAGAGATGTATAGAGTTCTTTGTCCTGCTTCCCAGAATCACATTGTTATGTATAAATATAAGAAAACACTTTTCGTGACTATGGTAAATAGAATAACTTTTTTCAGTTCTATCTCAGTCTGCCTGTTGTTCGTATATAGAAATGCTATCAATTTCTGGATATTTATTTTGTATCCTGCAACTTTACTGTATTCATGTATTACTTCCAGAAATTTTTCATGGAAACCACTAGGCCTTCTATGTATACAGTCATGTCATCTGCAAATAGAGTTTCACCTCTTCTTTTCTTAATTGAATGCCTTTTATTTTTTCCTCTTTTCTGATTGCATTGATGAGGACTTTCAATACTATATTGAAAAGGAGTGGAGAAAGTGGGCATCCTTGTCTTGTGCCTGTTTTTAGTGGAAAAGCTTTCAGCTTTTCTCCATTGAGGATGAGGTTCGCTATGGGTTTTTTCATAGATAGCTTTTATTGTGTTGAGAAATGACCCTTCTATGCTGATTTTGCTGAGTCTTGATCATGAAGGGATGTTGTATCTTATCACATGCTTTTTCTGCATCAATTGATATGACTATATGGTTTTTATCTTTCTTCCTGTTAATATGGTATATTACATTTATGGTTTTGCATATGTTGAACCAACCTTGCATTCCTGGAATAAAGCCTACCTGATCATGATGGATAATTTTTTTTATAAGTTGTTGGATAAGATTTGCTAGTATCCTGTTTTAAACACAAAAGATTCTTATGAATATTATGAGAGCATAGAACTGAAAATAACATAAAATTTCTTAGAACATTGAAAGCTTGACAGAGGGGCCTGTAAACGGAGTTTGGTAAGCAGGAATAAGAAGTTTCTTACTTCAGACATGAAGGATGGACAATGAAGTGTCTGAATTTATTTATATGGTGATTTTATTTTTGACCATTTTTGGTACGTCTTACTAACATAACTATTTCCTCATCTTTGTATGTGTCCCACAGTGTTTAAGAACATTTTCAAGCAAAACAGATACACAATAGGTGTTTTTTGTTTAGTGAATTATATAAATGTAGTGGAATTGATGTGCAGTTAAGAGTCCGACCAATTCTTTCTCTGGTTTTCTAGTTGCATATTTTATACACATCAAAAAAATTTGGTTTTGAGGTTTTTGCCTTAGGGCATGTGTGCTCACTGGAAAAAGAGAGAGAGAGAGAAGTTGAGAGAGAAAGTGAGAAATAAAATCACCCCTTGGGGGATAGCCATGCTGCAATCCCATCTCCTCCATTCTGCTCCTTGGATCTTGGGCATGCAGACACATGCATCCAGCTATGATTTTCAAGTCACTGGCTCCAAGACTTGGTGGGCCATGTGGGAGTCCAGCAACATAACTGCTAAGCTATCTGCTTGGGTTTTCCCTCCAAAATGTTTTTATGACAAACCACAAGAGGAAGACAAGAAGAGAGAGGTTTTTTTGTTTGTTTTGTTGTTGTTGTTGTTTAGAGAGAGATTTTTTGCTGTAGGGCATGTGTGCTTGCCTGAGAGACAGAAAGTGAGATTCCTCAGGGGAGGTGCATCCCCAGTGGGATAGCCATGTCACAACCCCTTCTCCTCCATTCTTCTCTCAGGATTGCACACATGCAGATGGGATCAGCGGGAGTTTCAAGCCATAGGGGTCTGAGACTCCAGCCTCCATTGCCTACGTAGGTGTCCAGCGACATAAACATTATGCCATCTGCTGGTCCTAAGAGAGAGATTTTTGATAGGGTCTCACAGTGCGTAACCCTCCTACTTCAGTCTCCCTAAAAGCTGGGATTGTAGGTATGGATTACCATGCAGGACCTGTTTTTTAGGACAGAAACTAAGCAGACGTTTCCCAAGGACTCTCAGCCCTGAGCAGCAGCGTTCTCCTGCCTTGCCACCTAAGCCTCTCACCACATATTTAAAATTCCCTAAGTTTCAGCTTCTATTCTTTTAGATAGAGATAGTAATGGTATTCATTAAATAGAGTAATACAATTCATATGTCTTGGCTGTATCCTATTGCAAAAATATTATTGCTGTTAATATGATCTAATTAAATGATAAATTGTATCTTAATCACTTATATAGTACCTAACACATACAAAGTCCACCAAAAATTGTCATTGTCAGTTTCGTGGTTGGTTTGGCCAATATATTTCTTCTATTAAATTGGCATAAAAACTGACTTTAGGATACAGTACAAATATAAATAAATTAGAGTTTCAGTTTCTCATCAATTCTTATCCATTTTCAGCTGAGCATGTTTAAATTATTTTTTTAACTATAGCAAGAACTTGCTAACTCTTAAGAGTTAGAATGATTAGTAAGGGGAAAATATTCAACAGGTGGCTAATATTAACAGAAACAAGCAGCATATGCTTGTAAAATCTGTGTGTTTAAGGCAAGTATTATAAGCACCCAAAGTCAATGAATCGCTTTTGAAGACGTTTTAAAGGAGATTGAACTTGAACTCCCCTACAAGTAGCAATTTCATGATAGGTAAAAGGTGAAGAGATATACATTCTACTTTTATTAAAAGATTTATTATGTGTTCACTTTGGCATCACGTATACTAAAATCGGCACAATGTAGAGAAGATTCGCAAGGCTCTTGCACAAGGATGACATGCGAAAGATTTATAATTACATTCTCCTGGGGAAAATATGAATTGTTCATAGATACAGTGTCTTTATTTTCCTCTTACATCCCATTAAAATACGTAATTTTTATCCCTATGGAAATAGCAATGTGTTAAATCTTATACATGGAAATTTATTATGTTTATTAAATTTGCTACTATATTAAACATGTTTTAAAAGCCCATAAAATGATATAAAACACAAATATTAGGAGAATAATCTGTAGTATTACTTTTTATTTTAAAAATTCACTCACGACAGGTATTTATTAAGGGATTTATGTACATGCCTATGTGGCAGTTTCAATAAATGACACTGCAAGTTGGAATCCTTAAGTCTGTGAGGGAAAAGGAATAAATATTAAAAAATAATAATATAATAATTAAAACTAGTTTAAAGTCTGTTTTAGTAAACACTTTATATCAAAAATGTAATAAACTAATGACATTTCTATGCATAAAAAGATTTTCAAATTAAGTAATGCATAAAAATATCCTACAGGTTATAGAAATGTCCAAAGCCCATGCCAGTTTGTATACACATTTTAAATTGGTTTTAAATAAGAAAGTAAGAAAATAACAATGTGGCATTTGTAGATAACTATGCCTGAGTTGCTGTGTTAATTTTGAAAAGATATTAATAATTGTTTTATGTTAATTGTGTTTGAAATAACATCCATGAAATTATAGGTTTATATTTATTTATTGTATAATTATCCAAAATTATTTTCAGTTATAGCCACCTAGCATGTAAATAATGCTCTAAAATTTAAATCTATAGAAACAAATCACACCCCTACCACTTTATTTATTTCTAAACAACATCAAATCTGCATACATAATAAAAGTTGCTGGTTTTTCCCCAAAGTTAGCAGTCAATTAAGTATATGAATGCAGATTTTCAGCAATTGTTTTGATGTATTATCTTATATTCCATTTATGAGAATAAAAATACTATAAATATGTTTTAACTAATACCTCTAAGTCGTAATATATAGCATTTTGTAAATATATGTATATAACGAGTCCAAATTCAGCAAAAGAAGATATAATTTATAAATAGAATAAGTAGAGAAATAATAAAACGTAGCTTGCTTTTTTTTTTTTTTTTTTTTTGAGACTGTTTGTTATATGGTATTTGTCTTT